CTTATGGTTCAAATATCAAAGAACACAAATGATTTTTAAAATATATATATTTACTATATAGAGTCTTGAATACTAATGACTTATAAATAGCCTTGAAGGCTTATGATTTAAATCTTCGTAACTATATATTTTGATTTTAGTCCTTATAGATTTTTTCAAATTCTTGTTGGATTTATAAATTTATGAATAAGTTTTGAAACATTACATAATACATACAAATAAGTGAAGTTTTTGAATAACGAAATATCCAGAAAATTTTATGTTTTGAAAATACACACACACACACTTCATACTTTGAAAAAGCATAACAAGAAGTAAAGTATATCATATAGTGAAAAAACAATATATGTTAGTTTCTGAACAACTATATATAGCATTTTCTAAAGAACTATATATAATCAAAAAAATTGATATAATTCTAGAAGAGCTAATAACAAAAGGTTGATATAATTTCTGAAGAACTAGTAATTGATAATGAAAATTATGACCCATAAACATATATATTAGAATATTTGTTTATCAATGGGTCTTAAGGTGATAATACAATTGGATTGAAATTCATTATTATATCTGAATTAGGAAGCATTTTGATTTTTAAGTTAAAGATATGTTATTAGCTTACTATATGCTATTCACTCTATTTGAAATATAGAAATAAGAAAAATATATTTATATGACTTGAGGGGAAGATTGTTGAAATACAAGTGTGAATTATGTTGGATAGAATTTGTTATTATTAATATTAATGTCATTCTTTATATCTCATATTCCTTTTGAAAAAGGCTCCAGAAAAGTCAGTAGCACTCAACCTTCCATGAGTACACAAGTGTTTACTATTGGGTAAAAGATAAAAAATAACGCTCTAGAAGAGCTATATCATAATTTATTATCCTAAAGATAAAATTCATAATTGATAGCATATTCCTTATGAAATATTAAGGTGAAAAATGAATAATGTGACTTAGTAACAAGAAGTTTACTGATAATTGAGAATAATTTTATAATAAACCAGAAGTTTATGCATTTATAGTTTAGCATGACCAGTCAGATCATCCCAGATCATAATAATACAAAATATCACGAAAAATGTGCATTGTCATTTATTAAAGAACCAGAAAATTCTTTAAAAATGATATATGATTCAAGAATTTTTATGTGTTGCTTGTTCTCAAAAGAACTAAATAAGAGAACATCATTAGTTATGCTCAAAATTAGATCCGTGCAGATTTATAATGTATCAACTTTATATATGAGACCATTTAGACACCATGTGGACCAAAGTAATATTCTATAAGTGAAAGATGCATCTATAAAATAGTCACAGGTGTTTATGATAACTTGTAACCTGAACTTTGTAAATATGTTCAGATAATTACATTGAGTACATAAGTTCTTGATTATGAAGTCAATATGATTTTCGTTGAGATTGCTAGTGATTTTTCCTTACGTTGCTAATGATTAGATGCCTAGTACAAGCCTCTATAAGTAACTAGATCAGAGTTTATAAGAACAGAATTCCCATTTGAGTGTTGGGATGATTGTTTTTACATATTTTTGCACATAAATACATCAAGCCAACAATGTATTGTGAATTCTTCCATTATAATTGGCTTTTGGTCAGGAGCCAGATATTTTTAATCTTAGAATGTGCAATATCTATTATTCCACTGCAATAATACACATAGATAGAAATTAAAAGTAAGTTGGAATCACTGTTAGATAAGAATCTCCTTATTCTTGTTTGTCTCTAAATGAAACAAAATAATACTTCTAGAGGAGATTTATGGATTTGGGAGACCCATATTACATGTTCCCAATATGAGGGGGATAAAATGTGTAGCTGGAAAAGAAAACACATAGAATGCATTTTTACTATCAAATGTATATCTTCAAATATAGTAGTATGAACTAGAAGTTCATAAAGTATTGCATTCGTAAAACATTACTAATATTTGCCAGATGCAATTACTGACCCAAATAAGAATTCTTAATTCTTATATTCTAGCTAAAAGTGTTCCTATGTTTAAGACATGCTAAAAGTATGAGAGTATAATCTGTTTCAAAAGAAAAGAAAAAGGAACAAATGATCATGATGATCATATTAAGGAGGCCTGAATTGTAAAAGAGATTAAGACATAACTGTTTGACCCTTGAAGAGGTTTAAGAGTTTGAAAGTAATAAAGAGATCTCAATATGTTATGTCATAAAAGAAAAAGAAACCGATAAAGAAATAAAATTGTTGACAATAATTTTATTGATGATATCATGTGATCAAATGAGGATCTTATATATAAATCTGTCATGAGATACAGACAGAAAAATGATTGGCCAACAGAAAAGAAAAGGCGCAATATAACAGGGATTTGTATATCTCTAACCCACGCACTTGAAGTGCAATGTTAGGATCATGTAAATAGACATTTTTACAATGAAAAGGGAAATAAAGTCTTGTGGTAAATTATATTACATGTCTTATCAATTTGGTAGTCTAGTAATAAATGAAGTTTTCTTCATGTGCGTTTTAGAAATATATAACTATAACGTATGACTGACTTTATAGTGAAATTTTATATGAATCCCTGAAGGATTCGAATCGTTGTATAAATTCAAACAACCCAATACATGAATAGATATGGATCACGATGTATGAAAATCCTTGAAGGATTTAAGTTTCTAGAAACATACAATTATGTTCTCAAGAAGACTATTTAAGTATGTCTCTATATGAGACATATGTAGTTAATATTGACTGAAGGAATAATGTAAACACATTCTAACTTGTCTGTTTGTGAAAAGATTCAAAATGAGTTTGTTATCAATATTATTTATGATGATAGTATCAAAAACTCCTAATAAGTTTTCAAAAGCTGCGAATTATTTAAAGAAAAAATTTGAAATGAAAACTTTTGGAAGAATACATATGGATAAGTCACATCCATTATGTGTTTCGGTAGTTGCAAGATCTTTAAATATGGACTAAAGATTGATTTAGACCTCTAAAAGGTAATGAATAAACACTTGGTCCAAAAGTACCATGTCTTAGTGTTACTGAAACATTTATATATCTATCTAGCCATACAGAATCTAAGCTATCATTTGCTGATTAACATGATATAGTTCTTTATGAACATGAAGATGTGGGAATGAAGTTAAAAATATTCTTCGTTACTTTAAGAATACCGTGGAGGTAATATTATTTTATTTGAAGGTATCCAAGACTAATCTTAATGGCTATATAGATAAAGTATTCTTATTTGATCCTCATGTCAAAAGATCATAATATGATTCACGTGTAGGTAAACTATAAAAAGACTATTCGTCTCATGATTTTTAGAAGATTATAAAATTTATATTTGATGTTTTTATCTCATTACAATATTTGGAAGGCTTGTTCGTTATATTAAACTTTGCAGGCTTGAAGATGTCAACTGATATTGCCAAAAGAGGGAGTTGATACACGCTGTACTCTTTTTTTCTTGTCTATGGTTTTGTCCCACCGGGTTTTCTTAGCAAGGTTTTTAATGAGACAGCATTGCATAGTATATCAATGAATGATGTACTCTTTTTCTTTCGTTAGGTTTTTGTCCCACAGGGTTTTTCCTAGTTGAAGTTTTTTTAACGAGGTCCATTCATATGTATTGGACATCCAAGGGGGAGTGTTATGAATATAATATCTTTGTGGATGTTCATATATCTCCTATTATCTCTTATATCTCCTATAATTTCTAATATCTCACATTATCTCTATATCCTACAATTATCTCATATTATTATGTAATCTGTAGATTCTATCAAAGGTATAAAGCTGTGCCTATAAATAGAGGTCATGTATAATGTATTGAGTACTCTTAAGTGGAATGAGAAATACTCTCTTTTATTGATTGTCTCTTCTATATGATCTTTCTCTATCTCTTTTTTATTTATAACATAATAAACTACATCTTTCATGAAGGAAAAAATTGAAGTACTAAACCTTATGTGCTTAATTAGTATACTTTATCAAGTCAAAACAAATATTACCTTTAATCTTGAATATAAGACTCAGACATTCAGTCATTCAGATAAAAAATTTATTTTGATTCTAAATATGAGATCTCAATTTACTTTTTCTCATAAATTTATAATTTCCTACTTAAAGTATCCATATTCGTTTCACGTATTAAGGGGCTCCTAATCAAAGGTAATTCCAATTCACATTATTAAAGAGAGTAGTTTAGAGAAATTAAGCCAGATTTGTTACAAATAACTAATTTAATCAATTTTTTTAATATTTTTAAATTAGTTATCTAGTTGGATTAGGGATAGTATTATAAACTTGGAAAAATTAATCTTTTGATTTTCATAGTTTTAACCTGTTTGTAACTCAGTCCTAACTCAATCTCTATAATTTTGACTCAGTCTCTGAACTTTGACTTGTTGCAACTCGGTCCTTATAATCTTAATCATTTTATAATTTAAACCCGACCTTTGTTAGATATATAATTTTATTTTTCTAAAACACAAGGACAAAATTATAAAATAGTTAAGACTATAGGGATTGAGTTACAACTAGTTAAAATTCAGGGATTGAGTTATAGCTGATTCAAAACTATAGAGACTTAGTTGCGTCATCGAGTCAAAGTATAAAAACTGGGTTACAAATAAGTTAAAACTGTAGGGACCAAAAGATTGGTTTTTTTCTATAAATTTAATGAATAAGAATTTTTTAAATAATAAATAATATATAAAAATTCACATATTTTGATCTAATTAAAAAATATCTTGAATATGTAAAAATAATATATATATATATATATATAAGTTTTTCCCTTAATTCAGAGGCGAGAACCAATAACTGAAGATTGATTGATAATTGAAGAATTCAAATTATTATGAGACATTTTTATTATAATATCTAGTGAAACCGAATACACAGTAAAACACAGATAAAAAACATATTATTCGTCAAAGACAACTCTAGCAAATTTAAAATTTTCCTTTTTATTTTATTTATTTTTATGTTTATTCGTTAGGCAATATTCCTTCTGCTCTGTTATGCTGCGGGTACTGAATCATCATCCCCATGTTTGGGAAGCTGCCATTACAGTGAAAAGAAACCCATTAGCTCAAAAAGGAAATGAAATTGAAATATGGTGAACTTGTCTTTCTGCTCTGGCAATTCGGATCAAATTTTTTTTTTTTTAAGAGTTAGAAGTGATAATTTTTCACCAAAGTTTAATTTAGTTTTTTTTATAAATAATTTTTAACTTAAAAATGTGAAAAAAAAAGGAGCTATTTTCTATTTACTTTCTATATGTATGACAGATGATTAACATTATTATAGATAATAAGACAAATTAATTCAACTACAAACAAGCATCTTCTATAAAGCAAATTCAAGATATATTAAAGAGAAAGAATATATTTTAAAAAAACTAAAAACAATTTGAAAAAAATCAAATGACTCTAAGAAACTTGTAAAAGACTAATTAATGTATTTTATTTAATTTTTTAAAAAAAGTACAATCCCATATATTCTCTAAGAAGAAATGAAAAAATAAATTAACAGAGGGAGGAGTGAGAGAGAAACACAAACCAGTTCTGGAGAGAATCCAATTAGAATCCTGGCCAACGCTCCAAGAAAAATATCCAAGCAGTCCTCTTCGTTTCGCATAAGCAACTTTCGCAGAAATGCTCTGAGCATCGTCATAACCATACCAATCTGATCCTTTCTGCGCATAATTCGTCACATACGTTGAATTATAGCTCACTCTCGGCCTCGCTGCTACGATATCCTTGTAGCTCACACCTCCAGCTTTCGGATTCGTCGCTGGCGAGAACAATCCGCCATTGTTAGGGTTCCTCAACCTCCATTTATACCCATAAAACGGCAGGCCCATAGCCACTTTCTTCGCCGGAACGCCCGATCGGATCCATTTCGAAACCCCTTCGTCTCCGCTGAACAGCCCGCCCGGGTTATACAATGGAGCAGGTGGCTGGGTCGCATCTGGGTACCCATCTGGAATGAACAGGTCATAAACCATCACGTTGATCCAATCCAAGCTTTTGGCGATCTCCTGAAATGGGTAAAAATTCAACGGCGAAATCTGGTCTGATCCAGCCACGGCAGCTGATAAAAGCAACGCTGGTCTTCCAGAAGAGCTTGATTCTGCTGCCACAGCAGATCGCCACTCGTTGATGAGAGAACCATAATTGGTTCTGTCTGTGTCCGAAGATGGGTATTCCCAATCAAGGTCGAGGCCATGGAAGTTGTTTTCTCTGGCAACTCTAATGGACGAATCGATGAATGATTTGCGCATACTACGAGTTCTCGCCATTTTAGAGAAGCTTGAACTCACAGCGAGGCCACCACCAATGGACAAAAGGGTTTTAACAGAAGGATTCTTTCGTTGAACTGTTCTGGTGAAGGAAGAGAATTGAGATACTCTGGAAGAAGCAATGGTGACTCTGTTAGTGTTTGGATCAAGATCTGCAAATGCACAGAAGAGATGAGTGTAATGGGAGGATTCGATTTCTGAAGTAGCAAGGCCGCTGTCTGAATACCAGTACCCTCCTTTGATGACAGATTCGGGAGAAAACAGAAGTTGGAGGACAGAAAAAAGCGAAGGTATCAGAAATGGAAGCTTTCTGAGGTGAGCCATGGTGGTGATTGGTAAGCAAGAAGAAGAATGGAAGATGGATATGATCTCCAGGTGAGAGTTTGATCACTCTTATATATAGAAGGCGTGAATTTTAAATTCAAGTTGGTTCATGAATCCATTTCAACGGCAATGGAACTTGAAGAAAGACTTCATGAATAGGACGAAAACTTAAACTATAAGTATTACTTCCCGGTCCTTATTTAGTGATTTGGATTTCTAAAATTATTATATTATATAATTTTCAAAATAAAAACACAATAATTGGAGGCAGCTGCCCCTTAATATAATGTAATGGATCTGTCTGCAAGTAAATTATTTAGGTGCAGACAAAAGCATAGCCCGGCTGCTAAAATATCATATTTGCTGATAAGATTTGCTTTGACCATTCTCCCTCTGCTTTAATTGATCTCTATGTTTTTGTTAGGTTAAACTATACGTTGCTGCTTCTTTTTTTATTTTCTTAATAGAAAATCGATACAAACAAGACATAGCAGGTAGCAGCTCCACATTTGGCTACCCAGCATTTACTGTGGGCACGATAACCGGCACACTAGAGGTGCGTCCTTCCCGGTCCTCTCGTACTAGGGAAAGGTCCTCTCAATGCTTTAACGCTCACACCGGATATGGACTGAACTGTCTCACGACATTCTGAACCCAGCTCACGTAAAAAAGCCAAAACGCTTATCCTTCATCAACCTCCTCTTATACGCGGAGGTTGATCAAAAATTCAAAAATTGACTTGAGGACTTAGCTAAATGATCAAGTTCCCTAAAAGAGTATTTAATACAGAACATGCCAATCCCTATTCACAAATGATCTAATATCATCAATAATATCTTTAAACGGATGGTTATCATCACATCTTTTGCTAATCAAATTAATAGCTTTCGCAAAATTTTAGCAGAGGACAACAAGCTTATGTCCATGGTTCCACAGCAAATAAGTTTCATTTTATATTTGCATGAAGTTCCATTTTTGTTTATTAAGTTCATGGAGTGCATTTTTAGTTCTTCAATTTAACACTTAATTGGTTTTATTTCACAGAAAATGTTGACTTATCAAACTTAAATAATGAGTATGCAATTAAACATTGACAAAACTTGCTTGCATTTTAATCTTTTTAATATAATTTTTTTATATTTTAAATTATGTAAAAATAAAATGAAAACAATTGTATCATTAGTGATGCTTTGTCCGCATTTAATTACACATTTATCACTTAATTTTGATGAGTTAGCATTTTTTGTCAGATGAAACTAAGGATATTAAATTTGAAGAACTAAAAATACACTTTATACATTTAAGAGACTAAAATAAAGTTTGATGCAAAAATAAAGGAAATGTTTATTATAGCCTTTTTTTAATTAAATATTTTAATTTTATTTTATTAGTATCGTTAGCCCAATATTAGTACTGACTATATCAACAAAATAGATTTAAATAATTTAATTTTAAAAAAAAAAGGGTTACACACGCAAGAAGAAGGACGACCTGAAACATGGATAAGAAGTTAGAATTGAAACTAGGAGTCAAATTTTTTAGATTTATAGGGCTGTTTGGATATATTTAAAACTATTTTCTAAAAGTATTTTTCCGTAAATTGAAACAAACTTCACCACATATTTATTTTATATATCTTAAAATTACTTTTAAAATCATGATTTAATTTCTATCCAAACACTCTTTTAAATCCTCAAAGGCTGGCATTTTAGAGTTAAGGTTCCACATCTTATTTTTTATTTGATGCATATTTTAATCATTTTGATAAGGGTTAATACAAATTTTAGTCCTTTAAGTTTGCCCTTATTTTGGTTTGGACCAAAACCAAAATAAGGGCAAACTTAAAGGACTAAAGATTTTATTAACCATTTTGATAATTATATTTGCTCATTTTTATCTTAAATAGTATTTATTGGAAATTGTTTTAATCCTTTGTAAATTAGATGAACATGATGCAGAATTATTTAGATATTCATGCAATTACGGATATTTTTCTTCGAACAAGTCTTAATTAAAAAATTATTTTAAAAAATCAATAATTAAGTTTGATAATTGAAAAAAAAAATTAGATGTTGTGAAATGGTAAAACAATAATTAACATCATTTAGCATCTGTTAATGTGTCCTAGTAAAGTATAGAAGTTGTTTTGTTTCAATTAATGTTTATGTTATTATCTATGCTCGTATATCAACTAATTTATATTCATTTTTTTATATTGTTATTATGTATTTTCATCACAAATACATAATAATTACTCCTTCAGTGATTGCTGAGTTAATTTTGGTCATAAATATAAAACCTATTTATCATATTTATCAGTATTTCCTAAATTATCCTTATAGATACTCTCTTAACCATAATCAAGTACAAGAATGAAGGAGGATATTAAGAAAGATGATTATGATATTTTAGAAAAGATATGTCATATTTCTTATAATTAACTAACTTACCTAACTTTCTTAATCTAATCAAATTAGTTAAATAGGTCTTATATTAAGAACCGATGAAATATGTTGTGAATCCATGATTTTGGTTTATTATTATATTTTCAAATAATAAAGATTTATCATCTATGCTTTTTAATTTTAGTTCATCTGGTTTATTTAGTTTAGGACAATAGTTTATTAAGGTTCAAGAATAATAACAGTTTGATTTGGTTTCATTTTAAACATTTGGTCATTAGTTTGACACTTTATTTACTAATACTAATAGTTTGAATTATAACTTTTTATGAGGTTTATTGTCTAATTTTAGTCTATTTGAAAATATGGTGACAAACCAACAAGTATTGGTCCAAATAGAAAGGACTTGGGCACCTTAAACATTATGTCTTGGGTTTGATCTTTGGGTTGGTGTGTATAGAAAAAAACACTGTTAGGAGGAATTCCCGCTACGGCGTCTGACAGTACTCTAAGAGATTAGTCTCTTACTGTTTGAGTGGGAGGATATTCTAGGCAACCAAAAAAAATATGTGGACAAAAAACATAATGCCTAAAAAACTCGCCGCTCGATCTTCACAAAAGACAATATTTTCACACATTTGGAAGTTGACATGAAACTCAGAAAGACATGATTTTATTTTATTGAAAATATCCTAATTTCGAACACAATTTTTTTCCTTATTTTATTCTTATTCTTTTGTTTATAACTTACTTTATTTTTATTCTTATTTCTTATTCCTTTCACGTACTGCTTCTGCACCGTTTGTGCCGTGTCTATCACCCCAATGTTTGAGAAGCTCTCATTACAATAAAAAGAAATCTATTAGCTCCCAAAAAAACAAATTAACACTATATTAAATGAGGAAATTTTTTGTTTTACATTTTAAAATTTAAGCAATTACAAATTATTTAATAAAATAAAGGATTAAATTTTAATTTAGTGTAAAATTGAAAAAAAACTAAATGCATAATTTTTCTTTTGAAAAAAATACAATTCAATAATTACTTGAAAAAAATGAAAATCAAATTAATAATAATTACTAGAACATAGAAAATAATATGACAAAACAAGCAAAAAGTTTATTTTCTTTTCTCAATACCAGAAAAAAAATGAAGGGAAACTGTATCTTATAGTAATGTTGATATAAATTTATTTAGCAAAGAACATGGTGTTATATCTTCATCCAACATTTTACATCAGGATATTTCTGTCTCTCTTGCTTCTCTCTCTCTCTCTCTCTCTCATGTTAAATTAGTACATATTATAAAGTTAAAAGATTTTAAATTAGTTGATCTTGTTATCTTTAGTATTTTAGTGCATTTTGATTCTTATATATATATATATGTATATGTATATAAAGAACACAGTAGTATATCAAGTTATTTAAGTAAATTTCACTTTTTAAATTGAGACCAATTTATTTACAACATTTTTTATTTATCTTTATACTAAATTAGACTGACATATCAATAAAATATTTTCTGGCAAAAAATTTGAATAAAATATCTTAATTTAAGAAATAAAACAAAGAAGAGAAAACACAAACCAGTTTTGGAGAGAATCCAATTGGAGTCTTGTTCAACGTTCCAAGCAAAGTATCCAAGCAGTCACAAGCAGTCCTCTTTGTTTCGCATAAGCAAACTTAATTTTGATGAGTTAGCATTTTTTGTCAGATGAAACTAAGGATACTAAATTTGAAGAACTAAAAATACATTTTATAAATTTAAGAGAGTAAAATAAAATTTGATGCAAAAATAAAGGATCAAATGTTTATTGTAGCCCTTTTTTTTATTAAATCTTTTATTTTAATTTTATTAGTATCGTTAGCCCAATATTAGTACTGACAATGCCAACAAAATAAATTTAAATAATTTAATAAAAAAAAAAGTTACACACGCAAGGAGAATGACAGCATGAAACAAGGATAAGAAGTTAGAATTGAAATTAAGAGTCAACCTTTGGAAAAAAAAATTAGACCCAGCCCTTTTAGACTTAAATCCTCAAAGGCTGGCGTTTTAGAGTTAAGGTTCCACGTATTATTTTTTATTTGATGTATATTTTAACCATTTTGATAATTATATTTGTCCATTTTTATCTTAACTAGTATTTATTTGAAATTGTTTTAATCCTTTGTCAATTAAACGAACATGATACAGAATTATTTAGATATTCATGCGATTATGGATCATTTTTCTTCCAACAAGTCTTAATTAGAGAATTATTTTAATAAATCAATACTTAAATCTGATAATTGAAAAAATTAGGTGTTTTGAAATGGCAAAACAACAATTAACAGCATTTTCTAATTATTTCAAGAATAATAATTGGTATTTTTAGCATTCTCATCACTATATTAGCTAATAAAGCAGTTTTTAGCATTTGTTAATGTGTCATAGTAAAGTATAGAAGTTCTCTACCAAAAAAAAAGTACAGAATTTGCTGTTTTTTTCCAACTAATGTTTATGTTATTATCTATGCTCATGCACATATAAACTAATTTATATTCATTTTGTTATATTGTTATTATGTATTTTCATCCCAAATACATAATAATCATATTGTGAATCCATGATTTTGGTTTATTATTATTTTTTCAAATAATAAAGATCTATTATCTATGCTTTTAAATTTAGTTCATCTGGTTTATTTAGTTTAGGACAATAGTTTATCAAGGTTCAAGAATAATAACAGTTTGATTTGGTTTCATTTGGACATTAGTTTGACACTCTGTTTACTAATATTAATAGTTTGAATTATAACTTTTTATGAGGTTTATTGTCTAATTTTAGTCTATTTGAAAATATGTGGGAAAAAAAATGCCTAAAAAACTCACGGCTCGATCTTCACAGAAGACAATATTTTCACACATTTGGAAGTTAATATGAAACTCAGAAAGACATGATTTTATTTTATTGAAAATATTCTAATTTCGAACACAATTTTTTCCGTAATTTTATCCTTATTCTTTTTTTATAACATATTTTATTCTTATTCCTTTAGCGATACTGCTTCTGCTCCGTTTATGCCGTGTCTATCACCCCAATGTTTGAGAAGCTGTCATTACAATAAAAAGAAATCTATTAGCTCCCAAAAACAAAAATTTAACATTATATTAAATGAGGAACATTTTTGTTACATTTTAAAATTTAAAAAATTACATTTTATTTAATAAAATAATGGATTAAATTTTAATTTAGTATAAAATTGGGGGGGGGACTAGATGCATAATTTTGCTTTTTTTTTTTTTGAAAAAATACAATTCAATAAGTACTTCAAGAAAAAAAATTGAAAATCAAATTAATAATAATTGCATGAACATACAAAATACTATGGCAAAACAAACAAAATTTTTTTTTTCCTCTTCTCAATACCAGAAAAAATGAAGGGAAACAGTATCCTACAGTAAGTTTGATATAAATTTATTTAGTAAAGAACAAAGCAGAATATCTTCATCCAATATTTTGCATCAAGATATTTCTTCCTCTCTTCCTTTTTTTTCCCTCTTATATTAAATTAGTACATATTATAGAGTTAAAAGATTTTAAATTACTTGATCTTGCCATCTTATTAAAAAAAAAAAGAACAAAGTAGCATATCAAGTATTTAAATAAACTTCGCTTTTTAAATTGAGACCAATTTATTTAAAACATTTTTTATTTATGTTTATACTAAATTAGATTGACATATTAATAAGATGTTTTTCCGGCAAAAAATATAAATAAAGTATTTTAACGTGAGAAATAAAACAAAGAAGAGGAAACATATACCAGTTTGGGAGAGAGTCCAATCAGAGTCTTGTGCAACGTTCCAAGCAAAGTACCCAAGCAGTCCTCTTTGTTTGGCATAAGCAACTTTCGCAGAAATGCTCTGAGTATCATCATAACCATACCAATCTGATCCTTTCTGCGCGTAATTCGTCACATACGTTGAATTGTAGTTCACCGTCCCTCCCACCGCTACAATATCCTTGTACGTCACAGCTCCAACTCCGGGATTCGTCGCTGGTGCGAACAATCCGCCATTGTTAGGGTCCTTCAAGCTCCATTGGTACCCATAAAACGGCAAGCCCAGAGCCAGTTTCTTCTCCGGAACACCCATTTTAATCCATTTCGAAACCCCTTCGTCTCCACTGAAAAGCCCAGTAGGGTTCCTCAATGGAGCGGGCGGCCTCGTCTCATTCGGGTACCCATCTGGAATGAACAGATCATAAGCCATCACGTTTATCCAATCGAAGCTGTTCGCAATTTCCTGAGGTGGGTAATTGTCCAATGGCGATATCTGGTCTGAGCCAGCTACAGCGGCTGACAACAGCAACGCGGATTTTCCAGAGGATTGAGATTCCGCAGCTATGGCAGATCGCCACTCTGTGATGAGAGAACCATAGTTAGTTTTGTCTGTTGAATTTGGGTACTCCCAATCAAGGTCGAGGCCATGGAAGTTGTTATTTCTGGCAAGATTGATAGAAGAATCAATGAATGATTTGCGAGTACTGGCGCTGCTTGCCATTTGAGAAAATTCTGAACTCACAACAGGTCCACGGCCACCACCAATGGACAAGAGGGTTTTAACAGAAGGATTCTTCTGTTGAACTGTTTGGGTGAAGGAGGAGAATTGAGATGCTTTGGAAGAAGCAATGGTGACTGTGTTGGTGTTGGGATCAAGATCTGCAAATGCACAGAAGAGATGAGTGAAATAGGAGGCTTCAATGTCTGAAGCAGCGAGGCCACTTTCTGAATTCCAGTACCCTCCTTTGATGACAGATTGGGAAGAAGAGAATCTCAGATGGAGGATGAAGACAAGGAACGGTATTATCAGAGATGGAAGCTTTCTGGGGTGAGCCATGGTGAGGCAGAGAGGAAGATGATGGATAGATATGATCTTCAAGTTGGAGTTTGAATGTTTGATTACTTTTGCGTGACTATATATATATATATATATATATAACTGTGTGGCACACAAGGTACATTAAGTAATGTTAATGAATGGTAGGCAATGGGTTTGAAAATTGGATTTTGTTTGATGGATTCTTCTCAAGACATCGTATTGACAATGGCATTTAAAATTTGACTTTTTTTTAAAGCAACTCACGTACTCATTATAATTTTAATTGAAACCCAAGTTTGAAAGAGGTGGCCAAAAAAAAAAAAATTTAAAGGAAGCATTTAATCTTTAGTATCAGCTGGACATTAAATTCTAACCAGGCTTTTGTTCTTTCTATCTTTACACAAATCTATATTTTTATTCTAATTTTATGAAGTGTCTTAAACTTTAGTTATTATAATTGTAATAACAAAAAAGTATTGATATTAAAATTTTGAATATTAACAGCTCATCATGTGCTGACGAAATAATAATTAAAATTTCATATAAAATTAGGAAAAAAATGATAAAAAAAGACTGTCGAAATAAAAAAATTACATACAGATACCTGTTTATATTAAAACTCGTACCAATATTATCGCGGGTTCTTTTTATAATTTTTTTATTTCAACGATTTTTTTTTGTTATTTTCCCTAAAATTAAAGCAGTGATGAAGATAATATCTCGATAAAGTCAATGATAGACACCACATAGAAATCAATCACATCGAAAAGATTTTGCTCGGGACAGAAAATTCTCTGTTGAGGTGACATTTGTAATTTCAAGACCATCGCCTAACTTGCACCGAAGCACAAATTTAGTGAGTCCTGTGCTTTTCTGTTTCGTACCTTATAGGCTTATGCCGTGTCCGATGCGAGTTGCTTGGTTAATTTAAACATATTAAAAAAATTAATTAATTATAATAAATATGAGTTAATTTTTTTAAAGTATTATTTTTAATCATAACTATTTACTTTTTAATAGAATTTCTTAACATGTATGATTAATAAGAATACTTTAGAAAATGAGTTATAAGTTTAGAAGAAACAAAATATATTAAGATGTTGTATTTATGATTAAATTTAATTTTCAGCTAACTCTTGAGACTTCACTTTTATTGCGGTCAATCGTCCATATCTCAATGCATCAATCATCAATCTATAAATATACGTATAATATAAATAGTGTAGTATGTACATATATACATATAGTATAATAAAATTCATGATAAATAATATTACTATGAAAAAAATTGCGGATAAATCCTTTATTATAAATTTAATTAACAAATAGTTCCTAGAATGATTGATTGTATAAAGAGAAGATGATTTGCACAAAATATTATTTAGATAAAGGGAGTTTTTATATAGAGAAGATGACTTGCATATAAGAAAATTTTATTTGCATAAAGAAAAATTGGATTGCACATTGCACAAAAAAAATTATAAGGAAAGATAAATTACTCACAAAGGAAGTTCAGTTACACACAATAAAAGTTAAATTATATAAAATCTTTAGGTTCTATTTGTCAATTAATTTTTCAATGAGAGATTTATCCTCAATTTTTCCGATTATTTATAGCATGTGATACTTTAGTCTTTATTGTTAGTCACTTGTATAAGGAAATTTTAGTCTTAAATATAAGTCACCTGTATTTTGTTTAATGCTCTTTTTCCAATTTTTCCCTATTTATTATAATAAAAAATTAATTGACTCATAATTTTCCCAATATCCATATCTCTTTAATAAGATCAAAAAATAAAAAATTTATCCATTTAATGCTCTTTTTGACGTGACAAACTCCTATATATAAATGACAACAAAGAGTAGAGGATACGACTCCTTTCTGTCCATTATTATAGATGTTCCTTCTGACTTTTATACAACTCGTCTTGACAAAATTAATTGATAATAGCACTCTTTCAACACGAAGCCAACATATCAAATTGTACGTAGTTATAATTAAAGAAGATGAGTAACAACTGAGAAAATTAACTGTAATTTAGTAATACTTTTAGTCAAATTTAGTTTTAAAAAAATCACTGAATTCCATTTTTGCAGCCAGGATGTCAGATGAAGCTTGTCGAATAGTTGCTCCAAATAGTTGACATTTTTGCAGAACGTACGGTGGATAGGACATTAGACCTAAATAGAATTAAATGATGAGGCGGCTAGACGTTATGAGGTTACTATTTTTAGTCAATTCTTGAATGCTACGTAGTACGCACGTTGCTGAATTAGAGGAGTCTGCTCACCCTTAGCCAACAAAGGCAAAGACTTGGCTTTGTCATTGCTATGTATTGACATTGAATGCATATACTACTCCATTGTTTAATATGAGTAAATTTAAAAAATTAATTAAATTAATTATTTATAATAAATAGATGTTGTCTTTTTTAAAATATACTTACTAGTTAAGTGTATTAGGTAGAACTATTATTGTTGTATTTACTATCTTGAAAAAAGAAGATAAATATAAGAAATAAAGTAGATTGCAGTCTTATATTTAGAATCAAAATAAAAATTAAATAAACTCTTATATTAAGAACAGGAGATAGTATATGATAGTATTAGGAAGCATTGTAAGTTTGTTGGATGAAAGTTTGATGATTGATATGGCTACGAGGAGGATAACTGAGTTTTTGACTCAAAAACCACTTTAAAATTGAAATAACTTTTTTAAACTCTTGACCCTTGGTTTTTCTGTAGATCTGAATATTCTGAAACAAACTGTTTAAATATATCCAAACAAGCTTTTCTCAAACTAACTTTTTTTTAAAATAAAAACATATGTAAATATAGTTCACATCACACTAGTTGATTTTAGGGAAAATCTTAATTAAATCCTGCTGAAATACTTAAAATTAAATTAAGGCCTACACTTTTAACAAATTCTTTATTAGGACATAAGACCTAATTAGGAATTGCTGAATATTGTTAAGTAACTATAATGCCCCTCTTTAGTTAAAAATGAAAATTGATTATTTTATCCCTCTAAAGTGGTTCATCATCTCTTATTATTAATATTTAGAAAAAAACATATAAATAATTTTTTAGTGTTTGAAATTTTGTAATATAACTAAAATCTTCAAAATATTTTCATAAAACATTTCAAATTATAATATATGTAATCTTTAAATAAATATTTTTAATATTTTTTTCTTTTCAGGTTGTAAGTATTTATTTTAAAATTTTAAAATATTTTAATTATAATAAAAATTTAATATTAAATCGTAATCATTTACATTTTCAGTTCAATCCAACATTGTTTAAATAAATAAAACTAACGTAAATTACAAGAACTGAAAATAAAAAAATATTTATAATTTTACTTATATTTGTAATTTAACATGTTTTATTAAAATATTTTTAATAGTATAAGTTATATATACAAATTTCAAACATTGTAAAATTACTTATATGTTTTTTGGTCTAAAAAAATCATAAGAGATGAGGAATTACTTGGGAGAGGTATATTAACCAAGTTTTCTTTTTAATTGAAGAGGGATATTTTGGTGATTTAACAACATTCAAAAATCCCTAATTAGATCTCATGGCCTAATTAGGAATTTGCTAAAAGTGTAGGCCTAAATCTGAATTTAGGTATTTCGGCTGGATTTAATTAGGATTCTCCCTTGATTTTAATCCCAACTTCAACTTATAAGATTTAGTTGGATAAAAGTGACTTTTGCCAATGTTAATTCAAACAAAGAAGTCAATGTAGCTTTCTGATGTTTGCTTGTTCATATGAGACACGCAAGGTTGAAAATAGCACATATTCTTGTGGGCATGTGCTTTGAAAACCGATAGCCTCATTTCATTTTTAGTGTACAAAAAAATAATGGTTTACGCCACAAATTCTATTTGATTGAACAAGACACGTCTGTCCATGTAATAGGAAGATGGATGGCAAAAGGAAATTATCATTTTTAATTGATAAATAATACTACTATAATTTAGTATGTATTTTATTTTAATAAATATAATTATACAAATTTGATAAATAAACTACACTATTCATGAAGTGTGAAAACCATTCCAAGATTTTGTAAACTGGTTAAACACTCTCATATCAAGTTAATTCATCAGGATAGTGTGATTCATTAGAAACTTAGTCATCTCCTCCATGATGAACGGGCCATGCTATGCAGGTTTGCGTGTTATACTTCTTTTTTTAATTTGAAATTTCCCGAAAAAATTTACATATGTATATATATGTATATTTAATATTAGAAGTCACACTACTTGTATATATCATAACTCGTCTCAAAAAATGTCATATATATATGTATGTATGTATATATCAAATTAATGATTGACTTGTTCTATTAATCTTACGTATACCATAGTGAATTTCAGAAACAAAAAAATGCTCCATGATTGACACCACGCTGTCTCCTTTATGCTTTATAAGAAGCATCATAAGAGGACACAGGACATAGAAGCAAGCAGGCCATAATCAATAGTGGTGCATAAATTTGTTGTTTATACGCAGGTTTTAGGGAGAATTATCATGAGGTCCCCAAAAAAAAAAAAAAAATTAACTACCAAAAAGTCTCAATGACAACTGTACAACATAAATTACTTATTATTTCTTATTCTGAAACTTATTATTACATACTCCTCAGTTATCAATAGACATTAGGGTAATTAAATCCTTCCTTGACCTAGATTGCAATTCCCCCCAGGTTTTGCTTGCTCATTCTCAATTGCATTCAAATAAAATGTGCTCTTCTTCTAATGCGGCTCTATCGCCCACAACAGAGACCCATGTTTCTGCAATCTTAGCCACTCTTCCTCCAACAATCTCGACCACTGTGAAGGCTCGCTTTGTACCATTTGCCTCTGGGGATGAGAAGTTCCTGTGCCCATCGTCAGCTAACTTTTTGACCCTTGGAACAACGGCACCATTCAAGTATATGGTGTTGTCATTGCCAACAACAATCATTTTCCTTAAGCCATTGCCATATGCAAGCTCTTTGTGCATGTGACCAAATACAACCAGCGGAACAGGCACTTGCTTGTTCTCTTTCAACATGGACATTGCATGTTCTAGATCTGTCAAAGATAACAATCTATGTTTTAGTATTTGCATCTCTCTCTGTCCATCATACTTGGGGGAGTTTTGGTACACCGATCTCATGATACACGGTATTCTATCAAACTTCGTCATTTTATTTTAAGGGGGGAAAAAAAAATACTGAATGTCATGTTTCAATGACTAACTGTCATTAAAAACATAAGAATCTTGAATATCCAAGATACCAATAAATGTGAGATAATAGCATGACATAGGCTCTTTAATGCCCTACATGCAAAAGGGATAGCAGATTCAGTAGTATTATTTAACAGATTGACATATAGCAGTATAGATTATAAAAGCCTACGCAATGAATAAAACCAGCCAACTTTGACTTGATTTATGACTGCCAAAACCAGAGGACTTATCCTAAATAAATAGTGGAGGCTTGAAGAACATATACCTGGATCACCATGATCACCGCCCCCAAATACCCAATCTTTACCACATATGTCATTTATATCAGAACCAAGACCTGCGCAAAGGATAAATCCAAAAACCTCTTTTATGTTGGATGTGAGTCACGTGACAAAGTACATAACACCAATAGAGAGGATCATAAGTTTCAGATATTGTAGAATTGATGCACCTTTTGGTCCATTATGACCAAGTAATATAAGGAAATGATCCTCCGGTGTGCCAAAAGCAGCTTTGTTAATTCTCTTAGCACTCCCATCCATGCTTTCCACTCCATATCTAAGAGAGAGCTCAAATTAAACAAATTGAATTTCAGCTGAAATGGCAGCAATACTGATTGTACAGCTCTTCATAACCAAAAGGCACAAGAAGCCATTTGATTGTACTGTTATTCTATCCCTAGTGAAAAAGGTCATATATTAAATAAGCTAATATAAAAATGCTGCCACATAAGATTCAAGCATTAGATACATAACAATTTAACATTATGACCAAATATTAGAATTCTAGACTTAGTGTTTACAAGTGATCAAAGTGGTGATGGGAAGCGTATTGGGCATTACAAGTGAAGGTGGAAATTAACAGACATTCTATTCAGAAAAATTGAGTGGGAAGAGAAGTGAGGGGGTAAAGAGGGATTCCTTGTGAGCAAGATTCACCACAGATAAAAATATTATTTAGGAGTATTCTAGAAGGTCACCAGAAGAAAAGGAAAATAGGAAGACAGAGATTTCTAAAATTCCAATTAAGGTTTGTCTGCAGCTCACCTTGCAGACAGAAGTTTCTTTCGGTATATCTGCTCACCACCACAAGAAAATGGTCGTCCACCAACAACACTCACTTTTATCAGAGGAAAGTCTAGACGACGATAAGCCACATGCATCTCACCAAGGCTGCATACCATATATTCAGCTATCAATACATTTCTCACACAAAAACAATTTAACTACTACATGTGAACCTAGGGAAGACTTTTAGTTGTCAGTACTCTTCCATTCCAAAACCATATCCTAAATGGATTCATGCATAAATTTTGAGTTGCCGATATCTGAACCAATCACTGAAATACCAACAGATAGATATTGCTAACCACTTCCCTCTTTTTCTTACTATCACCAAAAGCACTGATATGGACTTGCAGCATAGCTATACCATGTTTCTTTGGGTAAACTTATGTCTATAATCACTCGGATTTTAATAGCATAGAAATTCTCAATAAAGTTAGTTATTAATTATCAAAGAAAGGAAGTGCCAAAATAGAGACCATAACACAACAGTTTAATGATGAACTTTAAACCAAAAATATGAAAAACCTGACCAAGCTTCACATGAAATTACAATTGGAAAAAAGAATAATAAAAAGGAAAGGAAAGGAAAGAAAAGAAAATAGGATCTGGAACATTCATGAAGTCCTGAAATCATATTAATGGAAGAGAGAGCTTTCCAGAATCAATAGAATGAATAAACAATGAACTTACCACTCTAGTTGGAGTTGAACTCGATCCTTCTTGCTAACATTCAAATAAAATAGTTAGTTTAAACATAGACAAGAATTCAGGATGTTTAATTTAAACATACCATACGCATAAAAAGTTACATCAACTTATCCTTGTGTACAAGCTTTGCACCCACAAAAAGAGTAGGGTGGATAGACTTTTGTGTGTCTCAGTGGATTTGGAAATGGGGGGAGGAGTAATGTGCTGCATCACATCGTAGGGTTCATTTTTCTTGTATCCAATCAGAAAAGACAATAAGCAAAGCCTCAAGTAAAAAGCTAACTTCACAAGCTCTTTGGCAAAGCAAAATTGTGTGATCCAGAGTGACCGATAGACTGTGACAGGTAAATAAATTGAGAAGTTCAAGTATTCAAGTTAGTCAACTTAAACAATTAAACTCTTGAGTTCACATTGAATACAGTTATAAGTGGGTTTTGTATTGGTGGGAGAACTGGTTTTGATAGTTGAAAGAGAATTCTTCTTGAACCTCTCTCTTTCCTTTTCTTCTACTTGTTCATGAGTTGTTAATGTGCTGGATCGCTCATAGAAGGATATGGAGGAGCAGGTGTGGAGCCTTGGGGAGCAGAGGGTAACTAATGGTATTGAGCAAAGAATGTCAATAAGATGTAGCGGGTATGCAAGAAGCTGGTGAGACCTATTGGCAAAGATGACTCAGTTCATACGAGCTCAGGATTCAGCTGAGAGGCAAAACACACACGCAGATAGAAGAATTGACTTTCAACTATCAAAACTGATTCTTCCGTCAGTGCAAAACCCATTTATAAGTTAGTTCATCAACTACAAGACAGATGACTGGATTTAAATAACTTAAACACTTCACTTCTCACTTTATTTACCTATCACACTGATTCGAGGAAAATTATGTGAACTCTAGTACTTTACCTTCCTGCAAATTGATGGGTAAACCAGGCATCATGGTTTCCCAATATAACTGCTTTCGCAAATTCAAGATTTGCAACACTTTGAACAAGTTCAACATTCTCTTCACCAAAATCACCTAACAAAATTCAATAAAAAACATTAAACAACGAGCAAATAATACAAACAATGAGAGAGGGATTAACTGTAGAGCAAAGAAGCAAATGATGGTTAATCTCGAACAATGGAAAAAATAAACTCCTGAGCTATTTACACCTCTAATAGAGAAATGTCATGCCTGTCAGTCTGCAATATGCACACAAATTCTTCACACATGTCCAACGCACTCAGACTTTCCCACAGCAATTACAATATTAAAGAGGAAGCAAAGACACTTACATATGTTAAGAAAAAAATATCATAAATTGATAGGTTGATCAGCAGTAACAATGAAACTTGCCTGTAAACAGCACCAGATCTGGCTGCACTTCAACATAAGTGCATATCAGAATGAAGGGTGGAATATGCATCAAATGCTTATATTGAATACACACACACACACACACACACACACACACACACACACACACACACACACACACACACACAAAAGAGAAAACAAAAGCTGCCGCTTAAAATAAAATAACTTGATTGTACACTTGAACAGAGCTAATAGCATATTCCCAACTCTGTGACCAAGCTTTTACCTTAGGTAATTATCCTTCTCCCTATCAAATTAAAACTAACCAGCTCGTCAGATATATATACACACACATATATATAACCAACTTCTATCAATTTTCTGCAAGGACTATATTATTTGCCTCGAACGAACTCACCAAAAAGTTTCGGTGTTTACGGGGTTTGGATGTTAACAAATTAACACAAATAAAATCTTCAGGTTAAGCGATTTCCTTTCTATTTGACCAGACAATCCCACGAATAAGGCTAATTGACGCGCCAGAATAAATGCAAAAGGAGAATAAATCAACACTCAGATAAGGACAGAAAACTAGGAAGTTGCAAAATAAGGAAGAGTACCTGCAAAAACTGAAGTGCCTTTGAATCTTCTTGTAAGTTCCAACAATCATGCTTCAGTAAGAAAACACCAAATTACGACTCGGAAAATGAGAGAAAAGGAAAATGACGAAGGAAAGAAAATTTGTCCACGAAAAGAAGGCTTTTCAGTAGATATATCTCGACAAGAAAAACCAAACGGAATGAAGGAACGCAAATTACCACATCACCCACGATGGCAATTCGAACGGCAGACGCGGCCATGGAAGAGGAAGAGAGGATGGGTTTGACCGAAGAGCTCAAACTCCAGCTGACGGAAGAGATGGAAGGCGCATACAACGACGCGCTTAACATGGGGGATGGCTGAGTTTTCTTGACTTTTGACCCGTATGAATCAGTCCGCAGAACCGCCAGCTCTTCACACAGTGTCACTGGCACCTTTTTCATTTTTTAAAAAAAATATAAAAATTAATCTTTGGTTACTTTAAATTTTAATTCAGCAGTAACTCAATCTTTTGATTATAAATCGGTATGACTTAATTTTTAAATTTTTAACTCGTTTAAAACCTGGTTCTTCAGGCAAAAAAAAAAAATTCAAACCTGATCCTTAATATTTACTCTGCTTGAAAATGGTATCTTTTGAGTCATTCAACCTGGCATAAATAAGTTGTCATATAAGAGCCACAACAGCATAAGGAGAGGAGGGAAAAAGCTTGATAATCAACCACGCCAAAGAAGAGGCTGTTGTTAGAGAAGACAACCCAATTTTGACATTAAAAGAGTTATTCTTAATGACCACTCAGTAAAAAGCCTGGGCACTAGGATCTAAGAATATATTTATTTATTTTAGCCTTCATGGACATTTTCTATTGCGGCAACGGACATCCTTTTCTCCTAATGATGTTTTAGATATATGAACAATTGAACATAATAGCTCACTAATAAGAATCCTCCTCCTCCACCCTCTTGATCTTTTTCTTCTTCTGTTTTTTTCCAGTTGTTTTGCATGGTCATAGGACTAATGAGTATAAAAAAAAAATGTTTGGAATGTAATTTAGTAAAATAGTTGTCCTTATATGGAGTGATTTTGAAGTGCATATTTTCAATGTGGGTCACTCATATTCCATACAACGGGTGGACACAACAGGATATTAAGCATCAAGCACGAAAGATGGAATTCAGTTAAAAAAAAAAAAAGAATTTTTGGCCCCAAAAAAAGTTAAAAAAATGAATTAATGATTTTGTTAAAGTACTCTAAACTTGCATATTTGGTGAGTGCGTCATTAAAGATGGCTGTTTCAATATCAAAATTAGGTTGTCTTCTCCAACAACAATCTCTTCTTTGGCGTGGTTGTTTTTTTTGGTGTGGTCAATTGCCTAGGCTTTTCCCCCTTCCCTCCTTATGCTGCTGTGGCTCTTACATGGCAGCTTATTCGTGCCAGGTTGGATAACTCGGTTTGACTTATAAATAATAAGAATACAATTTTCAAGTGGAGTAAATATTAAGGACCAGGTTTTAAGCGAATTAAAAGTTTAAGAACTAAGTTACACCGAGTCATAGTTGAGAAACTAAGTCACAACTGAATTAAAACCTGAAGGAGCAAAAAATTAAATTTTCTAAAAAGGATTAATCAAAGCTTGAACTATTTTGTTTCTTAATAGTTTAAATTATATGGACCAAAATTAAAATGAAAACAAACTATGAGGCCAAACGTTGTATTAACAAAAAAAAAAGCACTATCTAGCAATTTTGAGACCAAACAAATTATGAATTTTTAGTAATTATATTTGTTTAAGACTTAATGTGATTTTCCTAATTATAAATTCCTTTCAAATAAATGTTGCAATTTTTTGCTTTTCAACTTTTTTTTAGATGAACATATAGAATAATCCATCATTCATATAAAAAATATTTAAATGTTACTGATTGCTTATTGCAATGGTATTTTTAAATTATTCAACTCACAACAACATGATTTATGAATGGTTATAAATAATCTTACATCCAAAATTAAAAGAATTCATAGGTCATTGGGTAAATATTAAAAATTATACATGTAAGTAGAATGAGTTATATGTCATTATAATCTGTGTTGATGACTATAATAAAATATAACTCATTTTTTAATTAAAAAGGGAGTTAGGTTTAATAATGTGAATATGTTAAACTTTGCCATTTTGTTACTGAAAGGGGCTTATATCAGATTTCTTATATTCATTATATTAAGGACTTGTTTGGTTCAATTACCAAGTGTTTGGAGATGATAATATGCAGTGCAATGGGGTGTAATGCAATATTTATTACCATATGTTACTAAGGAAATTGGGCAAAATATTAGTTTTTTCATTTAACCAAATAAAAATATTAATGAAAAGTCCTAAAAGCCCTTCAATCACAACCACAATCGTCTTCTTGCTCCGCTCTTCCTCCACTTGTGTGCCTCCTCCTGCAACTCATAGATTTAGTCTTACTACTCCATTTTTATTCCCTTTTTTTTTAAATTCAGTTTCAAATTTTTAGACCAAGCCTGCACACCCAACAAAACAATGAACCATCAACTCATAACCCTCCAAATGCCTCACCCCAGTAGAGTACCACCACTACGCAGATCAAATGAAAAATGAAATATTACGAATAAAATTGACATTGGGAGGGCTTGTCAGATACTTTTGCAGTTAATAGTGGGATGATCAAAATAATTTTTAAGGAGGAGTAGTAGTTTGGAAAATGTAAAAATTAGTGAGTCGGCACAACTGAGTATTGTTATGATGTGAAATATATATAGATATAGACGAATTAACCTACTTTTACTTTGTGAAGGAGAAGGAGGAGATGATGATGATAATAGGGGAAGGGAGATGATAAAGGAGAAGAGGGAGCGATCAAGGTAATGGAGGGAGGGAAACTAAAGACCAAGGACAAGGTGTTAGCTGAAGGGACGTTAATGTTGAGGGCAACTATTGTCCTTTCATATTAGTTAATGGGGATAAAATGGACATTTTAAGGAATTGCAATCCTGCAATGATCATAGGTCCCCCCATATGAATGGATAACACCAAAAAAAATGCAATAGATACTCCTATTGCAATATGTTTTACCATGTATAAACTCAACCAAACAAGCCATATATAACAATGTGATAAAGATTACCATTGCAAGGTTGCAATGCATTTGAATCAAATGGGTCTTAAATTTTCTAATCTTTCTTTTGTTTTAATTGGATTTATAATTAAAAATTATTAAATGTTAATATTTTAAAAATGCAATACATGGTCATGTATGATGGGAGAAATTGATATAGTAGGTATAAGCAATATTTTCTTTTATAAAATAATGGACTTGCAAGAAAATTATATATAATATGAATATTATAGATTTGGCTTAGGTATTAAAGATCAAAGTTAAAACTTGAACTAATCCGATCAATCATACGGCTTTTATCAATTTGCTTTTGTTGATGGAATTAGAACATAATCCATTAATTCAATTTTGAGCAGCTCTTTTGTTTTGTCAATTTTTTTTTTTTGAGCAGCTTGAATAAACCTTGATCTAAAAATCTAGGTCAGGGGACCCCTATACTAATTAGAGAGTATACTCTCTCTTTTTCTTTTCTTTTTTCCCTCTTTATTATCATTGGATTAAAATTTAATGGTTTAGATTATTATTCTAATTTTACATATAAATACATAAATTAATTTAAGCTAATAAAACTCAATCTGCAATGATGAAATTTTCATATTTAATATTAATAATTTAAATTTATTTTTAGATGGATCCTTATGAGCAGGATTTTCCTCCCCTTGAAAGAAGAACCAGCAGAGAAACAAAGGTTACAACAAGACCTTTCTCTGTTCCAACAGAAATCTTTCCTACTAGTGAAGCTAGACCAGTCTCAGAAGTATAAGAAGTTCTTAATTGGCAAACCCAGAATGCGATCGACCAGAATAGAACCTTGACAAAGATTGATTCAAAGCTTGACCTGCTGACTCTTAGAACTGATACTCTGACAAGTAGGCTTGACTAAGTCTCTGATCAAGTCAAACAGCTTTATATGACTCTATCTTCTCAGGCTTATCAACTGGATGTAGATCTGAAGCGATTTATTGAAAAAGGGTATATTGGACCAAAGTTTACTAGGAAAGAGCAAGAACTATCACAAATCCGAAAGGATTTGCAAAGAATCGAGTCAGCCATCGCAAAGGATCATTCTCAAACCATCTATGACCCTTATCTATCTTACCCCTCTAGTTACCAACGTCCTACATATCCAACATCACCTCCTTCTTACCCCAGAGAATCTGGTTATAGCAAGGATTTTAAAATGTCTTATCCTATTTTAAAATAGTTGAGAAAATCTCGACAACCAACTTTTTCACCTGCCCAACCAAATCCTCCTCCCAGACCTCTAGTAAGACCACCTCACTTCCCTTCATCCGAAAGAATTTTCTTCCCATCATCCTCATACACTAAACCTATTGAACCAACACCATCCTCTCAAGGAGTTGTAATAAGAACTCCACCATAATCTCCACTAAAACAAACTTCTCTTCCAGACAAAGAAAAAGGAAAAGAAGTCGTTGATCCAAACAAAACCATAGCCACTTTCCAATATGTGAATAAAGATCAATCATCAACAGATGGAAATTCTGAAATTGAGTCTGATTCCTTTATTGAATATAGTTCTAACTCTGATTCTAAGACATATCATGCTGACATATCTAAAGTAGCAATGGTCCAACCAGATCCTACAGTTGAAGATCCTATTGATGAGGAACCAACTATTCCTCACATGTTTGAACCAAGAAGAGCAGACTATAAACCTACTACAGGTCCGTGGTTCACTTTTGATGGTCTCCCTCTGGAAAAATGGAGAGACAGACTTTATGAGTTTGGAGCATGGATTGACCTGCAGCTTGCCAGGCATGATGCAACTCTTGAGGAAGTTCTCACAGAATTTCTCTCAAGACTAACAGGAACATTAAGAGAATGGTATCAAAGTCTTAGTGATTACCAGAAGATAGCAACAGCTAGAGTTGATAATGCAGGAACTCTTCTAGGACTCATTCACAAGGAATTTATTGGTGATTTCTAGATCATTGACAAAAAATATCGCCAGGAATACTTTGAGATGAAATGATGTTCTTTGGACAAAAGAGACTTGCAGAAACATTTCTAGAGAATGTCTGAAAAATATTACATGCTTGGAGGAGCTAATGATGTCAATCTCAATCATACTTTTATTGCCTCTCTTCCAAATGAACTACAACTAGAACTTCATAGAGCTATCAATGCACTCCATAGAAATATGTCTGACATTTCTATCGGAGAAATATATTAGTTAGCATTAGCAACTGTGGATAAGCTCTGTGAACAAC